TTAAATTTTAAACAAGCATACATTGGAATTGGGGCTTAGATATTGTTCAATTTTAATTTTAGAAGCTCATATTTCATTCCCAAGTCCAGATTATCAAAAATTTAGCACCCTTGGCTTTAGTTACCCTAATATCTATATAATAAAATAGCTCACAAGTTGAATTTAATCCCCTACACATTTTTCCCTCAAAAAAATCACATCACCAATTTCTATTATTTCAATATTTGATTAATTTATAGTTTAATATAATTTTTATTTCACATATTATTCATACACTATAATATACATATGTTGAGAAATTTTGTCAAATTATGTATATTGAAAAAAAATTGTCGATATTTTTAAAAAAATAATGAATAAACAAAGAAAATTTATTATTTAATATAGTGAAATAGATATTTTTGAGCGCTCAAATTTTATGTTTCATCGTGTCTTCAAGCCCAAGTTTTGACTAGTTCATATTGGATGTTGATTTTGGTATGTACATAAGTTTTTTTATGATAAACAGATAAAATAGGTTAAATGGGTCTATAGTTGTGAAAGGTGGACAAGATAATGTATGAACCCAAAATTGACCAAAAATGACCTATTTATTTGGCGCGTTACATGGATCATGTCAATCCTCCAAATAAAAGGTTCATGTTCAATTTTTATGATTTTCACTTGATTAATAAATGGTTCATGTACGGGGTCGAGTGTTTTTTGATACAATCTCGTTTAACTCAGCACAAACCCGCTTAATCCAACAAGATTGTCAGACATACTTATCACGTATTATTTGTAACCATCTCAACACCTTCATAACTAACCACTAATTTTTTAAATTACTTAAAAATATTATTTTTGTTAGCTAAAATATTTTCTATAATTATTTATCTAACTTTTCAATTAAAAAAATAAAAATAAAAAGTAAAATTAATCACAAGCATGCCTTTTATAAACTTGAAGAAATTATTTTCTTGACTGAAAATGTTAATATTAAAAAAGTTACTAAACAATGCATTAATTTATTTATTTTTTGAAAAATCAAAAAAAAATTACCAAGCAATAACTTTTCACATATATAATAAAGTACAATACAATTCAAATTTCAAAAGATAAATAAAATGACTTTTACTTTTCATAATTGAGATCTTTTTAAATTTTACTTTAAAGTTAATCTAACGGCTAATATTTAACACCCTAATTTTAATAGAAAAAATAAGTCACTAAAGGTGTGTTTGAATGACTTTTTAAAAGTATTTTCACAATTTATAATTTTTCATAAGTACTTTTAAAAAAATTAATGTTTGGAACCATCTCACCTCCCCCACCACTGGTCTACCATCACCGCTGCCACCACCATAACCATCACCCCCACCACCATCACCATTACCACTACCGTTGTCCCCACCCCCACCACCACCTCTTCTACAAAAATAACAACCACCACCACCATCGCCCCACCACCATTATCACTGTCGCGACCACCATTATCACCACCCCACGTCCAACCCCACGAACCCCCACCACTAGCATTGTTGTCGCCGCCTCCCCTACCCCCACTGTCCCACGACCATCACCATTACTACAACCACCAACATTTTTGCAGCCCGCCCCACCACTACCACTTTCGCCAACCCCACCATCACTGCCACTACCCTACCCCCACCCTTACTGCCCTATTGCCGCCACCACCAATTGCTTCCACCGTCACCACCCACCACCATTGTCATCTCTTTTTTATATTTATTACCACTATCACCATTATCCCACTACCACCCGTCATCGTTCACCACTACTGCAACCACTGTCCTTCAGCCCCACCATTGTCACTCACCCCCACCATACCTACCACTATCATTCGTCATCATCCACCATTGTCGTTTGCCACTGTCACTTATCCCCACGACACCTACCACCACCACCTGTCATCACCCACCAATTCTTCCATCGACTGTCACCCACTACCCACCACACCTACTATCACCACCACCCAGTACACTGTCGCTCAGAAGCACTCATCGCCACTCACGACCACTATCGTCACCGTCTGCTACCACAACCCATCACCACCAAGTCGTCGTCTCACCATAACCACTACCAATTACCATCATCGTCACCCACCGCCAACCACACCCACCATTACCATTGTTGTCACGCATGGCAGTTACCACCACAATCGTCACCCAAAACCCACCACCACAATTACTGTTACCACCCACGACTACCACCATCACCATAATCGTCACCACCCACCATAACCATATAACCGTCTTCCACCACCACTATTGCCACCGCTCACCTCCACTATAATCGGTGCTGAAATTTCTTTCACTCCATTCTATGTTTGTGATTTGATTTTTGGTGTGAATACAAATATATTTAATGTTGACCATTTTTTTTATTATTNGCTACCACCATCACCATGATCGTCACCACCCACCATAACCATATAATCGTCTCCCACCACCACTATTGCCACCGCTCACCTCCACTATAATCGGTGCTGAAATTTCTTTCTCTCTATTCTATGTTTGTGATTTGATTTTTAGTGTGAATACAAATATATTTAATGTTGACCATTTTTTTTATTATTTCGTGCCTTTGAGCACGAAAAATAACTAGTATTTCTATATATTACCTTTTTAAGTAGTCGGTGGAAAGAGCAAAAAGGTTAAGAAAGGAAAATTAGCAAAAGGGAAGGAGGACGGGAGGCAGAGTAAATCTCGTGCATCTCATGTAGGGGTGCTCCGTAGGGTTGATAGTTCAACGAGTACAAACCTAATTTACAAAAAATTATTATTTTTTAATTGATTCTAAAAAATTGTTCAAATTTGATTGATTTTCCAGTCGAGCCGAGCCTAAACGAATTCAAAACGAGTCAAACCCAAATATTTGCACATAAACGAGTCAAATCTATCGAGTTCGAGTTGAGTTTGTCGGGCTCATTTAGAAAAAATTATTCAATTTCAGTTCATTTAAAAAATAAGTCGAGATTGAATGAGTCAAAAATAAATTAAACCCGAACCGAGCTTGTGCATCTTGGTTTGATTTACGGTCTTAGACTTATCAGAAGTAGCATGGGTGCCACGGAGTGGTCCGTTAGTACTATACACAAACATTATGGGCCAGGAAGGACAAGACTTGGGTATCTGATAGGCACGGACGGACTTTATCTTACTGAAAGATTGGGCCCTACAGGACGCCTGCTAATACCGAATTATAATGGGCCTGAGCCCAGTAAAATGTATTTCTTCACAATAACCCATAGCAAAGTGAGAAGCCCAAGGCGCCCAATGAAATGGCTTTTCCTTTTATTTTAGTGCTGGTACCAATAATTTGAGAAATCGAACCATTGGAACACAAAAAAAAAAATCATCCGTGCTGTGTACGGTCTTAAAACAGATTGGAACCGGTTCGGATGAGTTTGAAGTTAAGCTCGAGCTCAATGGATTCAAGCTCGAGCTTATATTGAAATATAATATATTTGCATCTTGTCAAAAATCTCTATCATGTATCTCTCTTCTTCAACCAGCCAAAAAAAAAAAAAAAAGTCCAAAACTTTTCACGAACTATAACAAGTCGAATTTGAATGGACTAGCATTTGGAACTAGTCGATTCATTTGCACCCCTTAACTGGTTTGGATTAATGATGATTCTATTGAAGAGGTTGGTGGATGTTAATAAATCACGAATAAAATTATATATTTTGTATATTTGTGCATGCATGCATGCAAATGGAGTACTGCCATTCCCTAACCCTTCATCCAATAAAGAGTTTTCTTGTTTTTTTTTTGTTATAAGGTGTCTAGATTTATACTAACTACTTCCAGTCCTATTAGATACTGGTCACTATTGTCCAAGTAGGTTTAGAACATATTTCTTGAAAAATAAGGATAATTGGTTGTTTAGAATATGAGAAATATTGAATTTAAAACCTATGATTTATTAGAGTTCATGTTCAAGTACTGAACCATCTCTAAAAATTATCGACAACCTTTCTCTGGTGGACCGGTCCAACCCAGCTTAATTGATGACTAATCTCGAATTGGTGTTTTAACTCAACTCAACTACATTCAATAAAATCTTAATCAGGACTATGTAAAATAGTCTACACTAATCATATTTCTTCATTATGATTTTTCAAGGACGATATTTTCTGTTAGATTGTAAACTATTATATGATTTTATACTATTTTAGAACTCACCTCCATCTGTCGCAGTAATTGATGACCGGTGAAGCATAGGGATTACTATTAAACCAAACCAGAAAAGATCAAACCCTAAAAGCAATTTGTCTGAGAATACTGATGGACAAAAAAATTGCCAATGGGGGATCTCATAAGAAAGCAGTTGGTCCCTTCTTTCACACAGAAACAAGGACTACAAACCTCCAAACCCTAATGATCTTTTACCTCATCTCCTCCTCCTTTCTTTTTCTTTTTTAGAGGACCACAAAAAGTGTCTCTGCATTAGAAGTCACATTAAAGGTGTGTCCTTTAAGCTCACTCTTTAATACTAACCGTGCTTCTTCAACTATTTTGTTGGATCTAGTGCATAGTCCACAGTACTGGAATCTCTCACCTGTCTCACTCTTCAATGACACCTCTCTATTCTTCCTTCATTTTCTTCTCAGCACCAATCAGCCCTATTCAATGATTTATCCTTTTGAAGATGGTAATTAAACTACTAGGCTCGTCTCTATAGCTTTTTGTCCTAGGGTTTTGAAATTGAAGAAGGATTTTAGAGAGAGAGAGAGAACATGAACTAGTGTACTACACTATCTCATGAAGTTGCTGACTAATACAGATAATAGTGCATGTACATATTCATTGGACTGTCTCGGGTGCTTGCAGTACAGAAAAAGTTTGGAGTAAACTAAAGAATGAGGCATTACCTTTGACCAGACAGGAGAAGGGATTAGTCGAAATGTGCGTAACCTGGTTCAGATATCCCTGACCGTTGAATTAAAAAAATAAATAATAAAGAATGGGGCATTACATGGAACGATTTTTAGGTAATGAAGTAAAAATGTCGAAGCTATTGTCATTCCTCATGTCAATTGTTTTTGCACAACATACTTATTAAGATCCTTTACAAAAACCAAGTTCAATATATTAGGCACAATTATATATCTTATTTTCAAGCTCCTTCAATGTTCAAATGGCCTTCTCTGGGGTATATCAACACATATTTATGAACATGAGAACATCCATTTCTGTCACCTTACCACTTACCAGTACCAAAAGCCATCTGGTGCCAAATAATCCACTCTACATTTGTAGATATCTTTCGAAGTTGATTTGCAGCAGCTAGATGAAGCTATTATGAAAGGAATTATGCGATCAACGTGGTGACGATAAAAGATGAGAAATATCCGCCAAGATATTACTTAGTAGAATGAATCCAACACAAACTTGTACGCGTTATATTTCTACTTTCCTTCGGGAAGAAATTTATAATTTGATGCCGGGATCATGTGTCAATCTTCTATTATAACAGTCTTTTTTTTGTTGGCCTGAAAGAAGAAAGACTTTTGGCCAAGGTCCGGCATAAAGTCTATTTTGAAGGAAACTGACCACCATCTTTGTGTGGCATCTGAGAAGTCATGCTCAATTGGAATTGTGCGAGAGAATTTGGTATTGGATGTTGTGAACCCGAGCTCAACATCTGAAAGTTGATTTGTTTTGGATCAGACTCCATTGCAGTAGTAACAGGAGAGGGAAAATAAGGCTGTGTTCCAGGAGGACATACAAGAACATGAGGTCCAGTAGGCATGGACAATGTTGACGGCAAGGGGACAACAGTGAAGTTGTGGAAATCTTCTGTTTGCGGTGTCAATTCATGGCTTCCTGGATGAGATAGCGATAAATTAGCTCGATCCCAACGGAGGAAAGAATTATAGGGCATGCCACTATTCAGCAAACCACCAGGTAGGGAAGAATGATTTTGTCTTCGGAACAAGTTGCTAGATGAAACATATGCACTATGATCTTCAAGATCATCACCTTGTTTTCCTTCATCATTTGAGATTTCCCTTGAAACCCCCTTGGACTTATCCCTCATGGAAGCATCTGAATTCCAAAAGCTTGACCTGGACAGTTCCAACGGATTGTCCCAATGGACACTAGTGTTGATTTTGAGTTCTTCTTTGTCAGATTGAGGAGCACCAACTATATGAGAAGCTAGAATTGGCTGATGATTTAGGGCAAAGTTTCCGGGAGGCATTTGGAGTGGAGGAAGTTCATCAATTTCATGCTTAGCTACATCAAGCAACCAATCAACCACCTTGCTAGGCTGATTAAACCCCAGCCTGTCTTGAAGATCATACAATTGAATAGCGGTTGGTACAGAAAGCCTTACGCGTCTGTCTCTCAATCCTCTCACGGTAGTGACTTTGCTATGCCTGTCTTTGCCTCCAAAAGCCCGAGACACGCGAACTATTCGTGGATCCTTTAATTTTGACCATGATGTTGAGCTCGATGAAGCCCCAGAGATCTTTCCATCGCTTGTGTTGCTTTCTTGTTTTGTTGTAAAACCAGCTTCTCTTGAACTTGTAGTCATCTCACGTTTCTCATAATTAATTGGTGCAAAAGCAACTGTATCACTCGTTTTCCTGGGGATGTTGCTTAATCACTGATATATTTATTCTCTAGTTTCTCTGATGTCTTCTCTGCATAAGGATTTTTTACCACTTTCTGCTTCAGAATCCATAGAAAAAACATATAATATGAAAAGAATTGAAGTAATTGATGAAAATTTTGGCTACTGCAAATTTATTCCCATTTATCAAAAACAAACAGAAGTAGATTCAGGCCTCCCCCCTCCTCCCTTAATGTTTAGAAGAACAAGAAATAAATTGCAGCGATGGAATAGAGATGGAGAACAACATGAGTCTCCTATGTCATCAATCGACGACTGCTTCTCTTCCATACTTAACGTCTTAAAGTGTATAATTCAGAAAAGGTAGGGTTATAGGGCGCTCTAAGGAGGAGATTTGTAAAATGTAAAACAAAGTTTTGAAGAGGAAGATAAAAGCATACAATAAAGCAGCAGATAGATTGTTTGGTCTACGATTCCGATTTTGTTCAATATCACTAAGCAATTTGATCTGTTGCTACTTTCTGCTGTGAGTGAGAACTACACACAACTGTTTCATACTAATCTATGAAATAGAGCAGATAAAATTCTGATCCCATGTTGTTTGATGAATTGAATATGGAGAGTTTTACATTAAAATAGCAAAAGATATGAGACTATTGGCAAGAAGAAAGCTTACATGAGTATCATAAGATTTATACTTCATGTAGAGTAAGAGATCTTGCTGTTTCAACTGAAGACTGATGCAGTAATCCTCTTCATCCAACATGCTGTATGAGGGTTTCCAAAGGAAAAATTCACATTCCTTGCAAAGAATATACCAATTGAAGAAATGCTGCGGATTGAGTGTGTGTGTGTGTGAGAAGAGAGAGAGAGAGAGAGAGAGAAGATGCTGGAATTCAACCGACCATGCTCCACAGAAGACTAAAGATAAAGCAATGGCGAATAGGCCTCCACATGGCGTGCCTCGGCATCTGTCAGATAAATGTGCTAGTCAAAATCTTTATCAAATTCTCATCACGCTTGTTGAGCTATCATTGCCTTGATGCATAAGTTGTGCTAACCCACCCCTCTTCATGAATAAGTGTTTTTCTCTAACAAACATGTGTTTGATTGAGATAATTGTGCTTCTAAACGTACAAAGGAGATAAATTGTCAACTTGTGGACATGCTGCAAAAAAAATTCCAAAGTTCTTTGGAATTACTCCAATATTACTGCAACAAGAAAATCGCTCTGATACTTTTTGGTTGGAGTCAAGAGGACTAAAAATAAAATGGAAAGAAATAGAGGAGGACATGAACACTTAAAAAAAAAAAAAAATTCATACAAGTTGATTACAATGACATACTCAACTTTGACTCTTCAATTTCTACTCAACTCTACGTACTTGAACTCTAGGTAATGTACCCTATTTATATAGGTCATACATATAATCCCTAATATTACATTAAGATATCATTACACCCATTAACTCTAGTAACCTATACAGTATTAAGACACAATTATTTGGGAATTAAATTAAGACCCTAGTAACATCTACAGTATTAAGTCACAATTATTTGCATATTTCTTACCCACTAACACACATCTAATTAACACACCTTATTATTATAATAAACTTTATAACAAGTTTATTTTTCAACAAAGTTGTGGTTCTTGCTTTATTGACAGTTACAAAAGCCATTGTAATAATATTCCCATCACTATTATATATGACACTTGACAGATATGCACGCCTAGTGTCAAGGAAGAAGTTAACGTGATTAAGCCACAAAGCAGCATCAGTGACTTAAATTTTCCATTGTTAAGATGTGATATATATACTCTCTCATAATACAATGTTGTTGACCATTGCAACAATTGTTATGAACATAATAAGTCTATTTTCATTTTGTTAAGACAGAATACATCATCTCTTATTATGTATTTTGACTTTTATAACATGAAATAAACACGATATGCGTCGTTTTCAGAGGCTGCAATTTTCAACTTAACAAAGTTAGTCTTTGAAATTTGTCGAAACGACTTGTCTTCAATCATGACAATGATGAATGGTAAGAGAGGATAATGGGGATGTCTAATCTTCTTTTTTTTTGGGGTTTTCAGATATAATTGTAATTAAATGGAGTAGACATTAGACAACAACATATGTGTAATTTTCTTTCGGTTAATGAAATCATACTTAACGACAAAAAAGATAATATGCAATCTCGTTTCAGTGAGGACTTATAGGCAAGACGAGAGAAATCCACTTAGATGAGTCCGATTGAAGTGCTTTAAAAGTTGTGGTATCTACTATCTACTCTCTTTGTACTGTCATGTTGATGTGTATGATAGCTACTTGGGAGAGTACTGAGAGGTTACCTTATTGGTGAGGGACCAACATAGCTTCTTTAAAACGCCCACTGAGTAGATATAGGACCACACAAATTTTCCTGCAGAGAGATTTGCATGGAGCAAGTTGAAGTGTCGAACCTAACTACTGCCGCCTACAATGTTGAAATTCTGATTGTTTTCAGTCATTAATTAGATAAGGAAAGAGAATACATATAGAGCCGTATTGGAGTTCTCTTTCTCCAACTATGAAACTAACCCAAAAAAAAAAAGAACAACCCCAATATTCTTTTCCTTGCGAGATCTAAGAAGGATTATATATACGGAATCTTACAAGCATAGATGAAGAAGTAATTTCCGGTTTTCACAATGGTCTCTCATTTATGCCTCTTGACCATCACTAATGATTAGGTCTTCTGCAACTGAGAATAGGTGGATCTCCAACTCCAATATGTAGCCAGCATCAATATTATTAAGCCTTTCAGTGAGGGTAAAGGCTGCTCATAACTCAAATGACAAGCAAAGGTAGCTTTTTTTGCATCCTGCAAAGCAACCAAACACTAACTCTTACTTGGTTCTGATAATAGAAATTCTTGGTTTGTACTTGCAATGCCAGTCACTAAGATCTTGACTACAGAACTTTGGCCGGGAAGAGCAAGGAAAGCAAGAGATGACTTTGCTGACTTTTATTTATTATGCTATATATTTTATGTACAAGTTGCCTAACTTTTCATAAATAAAAATGTTTGGTCACTTAATTATGTGTTAGTACTTATTAGGTTCGTATGCTTCAAGATTAATCTATGTTGGGTCGTGTTCACTCTGTGTATATCATGGGTATAGTATTTTTTAATCGCTTGGGTTGTGTAAGAATTTTATTGGGCACGGTATTATTCCCTAGTCTTTTGTGAATGTGTCTTTATTTGGGAGCATTTGAACATCAATGTAATATCTCTTTTCTCCCATTCTGATAAAAATATTTATCTTTTGAGTGAAAAAAAAAGAGAATATGAAAAATCAAAAGTCATAAGAACTCTAGTGAAAACTGTAGTTTAATCTATTTGAAAATTATTATTGGAGTTAAATACACCAATCTATCAAAAATTGTTCTTCGCTAAAATTAGTTAATATTATATTTACCAAAAAAATAGTTTAAAATAAATGGACTAAACAATATGGCACTGACACAATAAGAAAATTTCGAGTTTAAGTAAAAATGGGGCCAGAAGTACCAACATATCAACTTTCCACATCGTTCGGTCCCTAATTTTAGTTTTTTTTAGCAGTTTAGCATTATAATTAATGTATCACAAGCAAAGCCTAGAACCAACAACCCTAGCAAATCCCCCTATGAAAAATAATTGAATGAAAGAAAATTATTAGTTCAGAGAGCAGAAGCTAAGGAAAAAAAAAGTAGACTGTTTGCAGATAACTGCGAGTCTGTGATGATCTTTAACTACTTTTCTAACCAATCTCTGAAAGTTGTTCTAAAGCAAAAACAATCATATAACAATTGAATTTATATCACCCTTTTTTGCTGTAATTAATTTGAACCCTTGTTTAATTTCCTTTCAGAAACTATGTAAGAAACAGATGAGAAATGAAACCACAAAAACCTGTAATCTGCTTGATTTTGTTTTCCGTCCAAAACACGGTATCTGTCTGTGTTTATGAGTACTGTGTGGATAGAGAGAGAGAGAGATGAAACTAAGATAATGATGATGAAAATTTGGAGAGGTCCTTCNCGAACCTAACTACTACCGCCTACAATGTTGAAATTCTGATTGTTTTCAGTCATTAATTAGATAAGGAAAGAGAATACATATAGAGCCGTATTGGAGTTCTCTTTCTCCAACTATGAAACTAACCCAAAAAAAAAAAGAACAACCCCAATATTCTTTTCCTTGCGAGATCTAAGAAGGATTATATATACGGAATCTTACAAGCATAGATGAAGAAGTAATTTCCGGTTTTCACAATGGTCTCTCATTTATGCCTCTTGACCATCACTAATGATTAGGTCTTCTGCAACTGAGAATAGGTGGATCTCCAACTCCAATATGTAGCCAGCATCAATATTATTAAGCCTTTCAGTGAGGGTAAAGGCTGCTCATAACTCACATGACAAGCAAAGGTAGCTTTTTTTGCATCCTGCAAAGCAACCAAACACTAACTCTTACTTGGTTCTGATAATAGAAATTCTTGGTTTGTACTTGCAATGCCAGTCACTAAGATCTTGACCACAGAACTTTGGCCGGGAAGAGCAAGGAAAGCAAGAGATGACTTTGCTGACTTTTATTTATTATGCTATATATTTTATGTACAAGTTGCCTAACTTTTCATAAATAAAAATGTTTGGTCACTTAATTATGTGTTAGTACTTATTAGGTTCGTATGCTTCAAGATTAATCTATGTTGGGTCGTGTTCACTCTGTGTATATCATGGGTATAGTATTTTTTAATCGCTTGGGTTGTGTAAGAATTTTATTGGGCACGGTATTATTCCCTAGTCTTTTGTGAATGTGTCTTTATTTGGGAGCATTTGAACATCAATGTAATATCTCTTTTCTCCCATTCTGATAAAAATATTTATCTTTTGAGTANCTTTTAAATGAAAATTTTGCTAGCATATTATCTTCAATTGGTAGTATGATTCATCTTTTTAATCTTTATTGTATCATATCAATCTTAGGTAGGAATTATTTTAATATATTTTATTTAAGTATTCAAAATTGAGAGAGAAAGGAATGGATTGATGATTATTTTTAGTTCATATGGTTTACATGAAAAAACATTTTCTTTTTGGAATTCTAAAGTTTCACCTAATACTTTGATAAAATAATGTACGTAGCATGTGATATTGGTCAAGTAAAAAAAATTATACAGTTATAATTATAGTAATAAAAATTATACAGTTATAATTATAGTAATGTTATAATGGCACGTGAACTGTTACATTATTAATATGATCTGTCAACCTTACAAGAAGTTATTATATATGTGTCTCACCTTAATATGTTGATACGTATTATAATCGTGTTATCCTATCATATGTTCTTAGTAAGTAGATCGATACAAACTCAGCTACTTGTAACTTGTATGATACGAATTTATTTAAACGTAATTATAAATATATTGTATAACTTGAACGAACAACTTTAATAGGATGTGACTAAAATAAAAACCACGATGTTCGAATTCAACAAAATGTATACAAGCAAATAACTCCTAATTATGAGTCTATATCAATAGCATGGTGGGATAGAATGGGCACCAAGCCAACAGAGACTAACACTGAGTTTTCCAACTACTGTGAATTACAAAGTCGCCAATGCCCTGTTGGTCCAAAACACTTACTCCTATATCCAGCTAACATGGAAGATCAAATAATCAACCCCCGGAGTAATTAGAAGGTAACAAGGACGAGGACGAGCTGTAAATTCAAATGTTTTAAATTCAAATTTTTGCAATCTTTTGAATCAAACCATGAGAGATTTATTCCTAATGAATACCTTAATTCCGGCGTGGATGGCACCGGACCGGAATAGAGATTAGTCGAAATTGTGCGTAAACTTATCTGAACACTCATGCCTGCTGAGCCAAAAATAGAAACAA